CAGTCAGACACTATGCCAGAATAAATTCCTTTTTCACACTGATCGGTATGCTCTTCCTGTGAGAACGAGCATGTCCTTGGAAGTGGGATACATATTGTTTGCTCCCAACGCAAGTGCACAGGCAGTTCGTGTTGGACCAGTTGCACTGTCAGCTCTCTTGACTAGTCTGCACTTCTGTGAAATGTGTATCTTCTGTAAATGTATGTTCACAGACAAAATATTTTTTCATCTTTCAGGCTGATTAGAGGCCTGGTTTTGGATCATGGTGCTCGTCATCCTGACATGAAGAAAAGAGTGGAAGACGCTTATGTTCTTACTTGCAATGTATCTCTAGAATATGAGAAAACGTAAGTACTCAGCAACAAGGTGAGGAGCAGAAAATGCTCCCATCTTAAAGACTTATTTAAGGTGTCCGTAAATAAGAACCAGAAGACTGTGTAAACTTCCAGAGTGAGGTTTGATAGTATGGAAAGTGGAATGGAAGAGGTGATGCTCCTTCTGCAATCCTTTTTTGGAAAAGGGGAGCTGGGGGGCTGAGAAAATGTTTTTGAGAGGCAGAGCTTCTCATGGTGGTTTTTATTCTGTTGTTTTATTGAAGGAAGGCTGGAAGTCCTCCCTTCATTTATTTCTTTGGCACAGAGGATAGTTGTCTTAGTGCTTTTTCATTTATTTTTCTCCTTCAGGGAGGTGAGCTCTGGATTCTTCTATAAAAGTGCTGAAGAGAGAGAGAAGCTAGTGAAAGCAGAAAGAAAGTTCACTGAAGATAGAGTGAATAAAATCATAGATTTGAAAAGAAGAGTCTGTGGTGATTCAGATAAAGGATTTATTGTGATCAACCAGAAGGTGAGATGAAGGGGTAACTAACTAGAAAAACTAATTTGAAATGCGGGCTTTCTTGGCAAGCCATGTACTATTTGACTCTCTTTGTACGGTTCTTCAGACAGAAATAGCTAAATTTAGGCTGATGTACTTTTAAATACATGCATGCAGTTCTTACATGAGATCTTCTCTGAGCCCCAAGGAAGAACTTAATCATTAGTGTCAGACTGAGAGACGGCGTTTTTAGCCTTTTCTTTATCCTGATGGTCACTTTCTTTGTTTCTAGGGAATTGACCCATTTTCCTTGGATGCACTTGCAAAAGAGGGAATAGTTGCTTTGCGGAGAGCTAAAAGGAGGAACATGGAAAGGTCAGTTCCTGGGGAGAGGAGAGGGTAAAATAACTTGCTCTTCCAAACTAGAACAGTGAGTCAAGTCTGGCTTAAATCCACCTTTAAGGATGTGCACTAAAAAGTCCATTTCAACCTATCCAGCTCTTCCTGGGGTAACTTAGGGCAGTTTGTACAAAGCATAGAAATGTCTGTTCAGTGCACCGGGTGGTGCAGAAATTTGACCTGTCAGTGTGCTCCAAATGTAGGCACCTATAGAGGAGACTATTTCTACAGGTTTATTTTTATGAAGAGCTCTTTCATGAACAGAAGCAAACTGTTCCAAGCCTAGGAAGTGTGGTGTTCTGCATGCTGAAATACTGTTATGTTAGTGACTTCACATTTTACTTAATACAAAGCAGGTGCTAAGCTGGGTGTGTTCTCTCTCAGACTGACCCTTGCGTGTGGTGGTACTGCCATGAACTCGGTGGAGGATCTCACTCCTGATTGTCTGGGACACGCAGGGCTTGTCTACGAGTACACACTGGTGAGTACAGCCAGCTTCCAGCTGAAGGCAGGTTAAATACGCATCACTTGGTGTTCGTTTGTCTTGATGTGTCTGTCTAGAGATTTATTTTTTTTTTTAGTCTTCTAAGAGCTATAGTAGAGCATGAATAAAGGCTGGTGGCATTTCACATCCCAGTGCCCACTTGTATGTGAACAGCTACCCGGATATTTGCTCTTGTCATAATGTATTTTCCTATTGTTTCCATATTGTACTCATTATTAATATCTGTAAAACTGAGAAAATGGAAATGAGGTGGTTCTGCTTCTCATCACTTTGTGAAGTGCTGTTGGTGCAGAACTGAATCTGAAAGTGTCTCTTAAATTTCTTTTTTTTTAATTATGTGTATACATTGATTTAAGCAAACGTGTGACATGAATACATAACCCTGTTTTTTACAGGGTGAAGAGAAATACACCTTTATTGAGAAATGCGACAACCCCCGCTCTGTGACCCTGTTGATCAGGGGACCCAATAAGCATACGCTCACACAAATCAAGGATGCAGTAAGAGATGGCCTGCGTGCTGTTAAAAACGCTATTGAGGATGGTAAGTCTCCACTTTATTTAGTGATACTGAGGATCTTCTGGTGAAATTCCTCTCAAAATTCATGAATTTTGTATTGCCTTCCTTGATATCCAGTGCAGTTAGGCACCCAGCTAAGCGTATTTCAGTGTGAAGTGCTTTTAGTTGCTGTTGTTAGATCTTGTATTTTACAAGTAGCTGATAACTGTGTAAGTACTTACCTGATTAGAGACAAGCTGTCTTTCTAAGGATGAGAGAAGAGATGAAACTACACTAAAAATCAACTGTTTAAATGGGAATAGGTGCTTATTTTGAAGTCTCAGTATCAAGTTTTCCCTTGCAGGGTGTGTGGTTCCAGGAGCAGGTGCACTGGAAGTGGCCGTAGCTAATGCGCTTGTTAAGCATAAACCTAACGTAAAAGGAAGAGCCCAGCTTGGAGTTCAAGCTTTTGCTGATGCTCTGCTCATCATACCTAAGGTATAAGGAGAGCCTGAATAAAAGTGGCTTTAAAGCATGCTAAGACCCATGGCTTTTTCTGCTAGAGGTCTCTTTAATTCAACGATGTGAAACAGTGTCTCTGTTCTCTCCAAGGTTCTGGCTCAGAACTCTGGTTACGATCCCCAGGAAGCTCTGGTGAAGGTTCAGGCAGAACACGCGGAATCGGGACAGCTCACCGGAGTTGATCTGAACACTGGTAAGAACTTTCTAAAATAAATGGGATGATGCTGTAGTAGGAAACTGTTGTGGCTCAGCTCTGAATGCAGAAAGCTGTACCTGTTTTCATAAAAAGCTGTGCGGAATGCGTTGGCAGGTGTTAGTCTTTAAAGACTATTTTTACTTGTTTTGTAGGTGAACCAATGGTAGCTGCAGCAGCTGGAGTCTGGGATAATTACAATGTCAAAAAGCAACTGCTTCATTCATGGTAAATGTTACGCTGTTTTCACTTTAGTGATGGGTGTTTGATTGTTGGTGATGTGGAATTGAGGGATCCCATGTAGAGGAAACTGTCTTGAAAGGCAGAAATGAAGCTGAGTCATCTGCTAACTATGTCAAAATGGATATTCTAACATTATTTATTTAACATTTCTAGCACGGTGATCGCTAGCAACATTCTCTTGGTGGATGAAATTATGCGAGCTGGGATGTCCTCTCTTAAAGGCTGAGTTGGATCTGCTGTTGTCCACGGCGGATGGCTCTGGTAGTGCCCCAGGGAATGTCGAAGAAATCCCCCCAGGTGCTCTTTTCTCAGCTGGGGTGGATTTTCCCAGCAACAGAAGTTACTTTGGTGTAAGGAGCAGCCCCTCTTCAGTAAACATGGCCACTCAAAACATTTGCATCTTAATCGGATATTTGGCTCTAAAAATCAGTTATTTATTTTTAATTTCACTGATGTGTACAACTGAATTTGCTTTCCTTTTTACCCAATAAACTGTTAAGTTCTGTGCTTTATGTGTGTCGGTTATTTAAAACACCGTTCCTGTGGGAGCAGGGCTGGCTGACAGGCCTCCAGTTGCCCTTTCTGGCTCCCAGCTCTGCCTGCTGGACTTTCTCCCTGATTCCAACACTTACCAGGGCTCTGAAAACACTGCTCCAGGCTCTGCTGCTGGAGTGGTGTGGGCTCAGGCCTGGAATTTCTTCATCACAAAGCCAGATTGAGCCTAGCAGTTCATAGTTTTGTACTTGCTAACAAACAAAACAACAAACAAAAGGAGTTAACTTTACTGCAGAGTGAAGTGGTGAAAGACTTGGTGCATGTTGGTAACACCCTGGGAGCTTTTCAACACTGTTCCTGCTGCCTTAAAGGATTCATGGACAACTGGTGCTGTACCAGATTTAGGCAGAACAACTGCATCTTTAGCTCAAGCATCCTGCCAAGAGGTGATTTGGTTTATGGGAGGGGAACAGATTCGTGCAGTTTTAGATCATTTTCCCTAATTCCAGCTGGGTTTTGTTAAGAGACAGGAGCCTCATTCCCTAGTTGAGTGTTCAAGAAGTGGATTTGTCACCTGATGTGCAATAGGTCAATAATCACACATTTGGGACAGACATTGCTTAATTATTTTAGGGTTGCACAAGCCTAGGTGCTTGGTATTCCCACAAATCAAGCACAGCAATGGGACTTTACAGTAATTTTCCAACTCCATCCTATAGGATGGTTAGTAATCGACATATTATACAGCTGATACTTCTGTGCATGCTCAGGGCAAGGGTCTTCACCTGGTCAGGGGTCTTGGATCTGTTGGTGTGATTTTTAGTACTATAATGAGGGGAGTCCAGTGAGGGATACATGGACCTTGGGTTTGCTTACCAAGGTGGTGATGACCCCTTTTCAGGGTCTAATTGCTCCAGGCTGTCCTCGCTCAAAGGCGATTATCGACTTGTTCTGATGGGGATGCCTTTGGCTTTAACAGAGACAAAGAACATCTTTCTTGAACGAAGCATAATATTGACATTGTTCCAAAAGTTTAACCTTCAACACCAGGGGGCTGGCTGGCTGACAAGCAACTTTAAAAAAAAAAAAAAAAAAGGCAGAAAGACACTTTGAATGTGAAACGCTGAACTGCCTCAAGGGAGGGCTTTGTCCCGGCAGCAGGAGGCTCCTCGGGTGCGGAGGCGAAATGTTTTTCAACCTTTACGGGCAATGGCGGAAGCATCCTCGCCCCTACGGACCCTCCGGCCCGGCGATCCCGGAACCCCCACGCGTGGGG